CATTTGTTTGATATTGGCATTTAGTTTTCCTGAGTGTTACCAAACTTTTATAACTTTGTTGTGGTTGGCTATAGAAAAACCTTTTCATGGTTTATATCTGTTTGGATTGAACTTCAGTCTGGATTTATGATGTAGATAAATAGAGCAAAAAATAAATAAATAAGGTTCAGAGTAGACTGGTTTTATCTAATAAATCATTTGGGTGGAATTTTGAATTTTCTAGACTTGAAAGATGATGAAGATAGTTAACATCCCTTCTGCCTCAAATAGAGAACATCATCTAGATGATATGAAAGAGGAACATAAAGCATGAAATCTAGAACCATCAGGGTATTTTACTTTGAACATACTTTATTTGGTCAATCAATGATGCTTCTTGCTATAAATTCCACTTTTAGAGCTTAAAAGGAAGGCAAAAGTTTCATCTAAAGTTCAACTTCTGTCTTGGCTATTAACTCATGAGGAAGCTCAATACAATAGATGTGATTCAATCAAGATGGCTTCTGTTTTACATATCTTTCTCCAAACTGAAGTGTTTAAGTGTATGAAGGAAGTAGGAAACAATAATCTTTTGTTTCTTCAATATTCTGTACAAATTGAAACTCCTATCCTATGTGGTTATAAAAATCATTTCCTGGCATCTTTATGTGCATATGTACAGATTTATAATTATGTACAAATTTATACAATTGATGAGTAGTACAGATTTAAAACACTTTGAAGACGGGAAATGCATATGTACAAATTCATACATATGGCTTTGTTTTGCCTCTTGCAAAATTAAAACACAGATTTAAAAATATGCCTCTTGCAGAATTATGTGTTAGAGAAAATGCAACAGCCCTTATCTTTCCAATTACTTAGCATGCTTATGCATGGATATGTGAATGTAAATATGTTGCTTATATGTGTATAAGAAAAACTTTATGTTAGAAAATTCCTTTTAGTATTAGATTGATAATGTTTGAGATACTTGCTTCTCTACTCCATCAGACTTATTTTTGTTTGCTGCTGTAGTATTCTTTTATGTTGCTATTTAGTTTGTTGGTTGACTTATTGAATTATGCATTCAATGATGTTAGGAAAAAATGATAGAGCTGCAAGAGGAAACACAAGCAGGGGAAAGTGAAAAAATAGAAGCTGAGATATGTGAGGAAGTTCTGGGTAAAGCTTTCGGATTTAACAAGAATTTTGCATTTTCACAGATTGAGCATCAATCCACTGCAGCAGAAGCTGAGTTAAGGTGCATTGTGCAACAACAAGAAAATAAGATTAAACAGTTGGAGGACCAGCTAATCTTATTTGATCAACAAAAAGAGAAAATAAAAAGCCTTGAACACCAACAATTGGTCCTGTTAGAGATGATGAAGCAGCTAACTATAGCCCTTGAACTAGAGAAATCTGATAAAGCTCCAACTCGACAGCACTTGCCTTCTCGAACTGATGAGAGACTCATCCTCATCAGCTAGAGCTATTTCAAATACCGGAACTGGTGACACTTGACATGCTAACGGTTTGATGGTATTTTTGTGTTGTATGGACAAAAGATATTTTGACATGGGGGTAAACCATCTTTTAGGATTATTTGCATATATTGTTAGATGGTGTACATGGGTGGGCTTTTTTTGTTAGTTATGCACAGATAGATAGGTAAGAAAGGAAAATGTGGGTGCATGCTGTTCTTTTGGGTTATGCACATGTGATAGTGCATTTTGGATTTTTATTGCTCATCATGCATAAAAATCCATGTATGGACTATATATATGTATGAAAATATGATTTTTGATTTAGTGATTAGATTTTTATATTGTGTCCATTATTTGTTTTGTTGAATGTATAATGTAGGTCAATACGAAATGCTCTAAAAAAAACACATTCTGCAACTAATTTTTTAGTAGCAAAAAGTCATTTAGCATAATTGCATTCCGTTGCAGGTCAATATGAAATGCTCTAAAAAAAACACATTCTGCAACTAATGTTTTAGTAGCAAAAAGTAATTTAGTATAATTGATTCCATATTCAGTGTCTTAAAAATAGTCGCGATAACATTTTGATTTCACATTCAGCGTCTAGAATGATACAATTAACCACTAAATTTTTGTCACTAAAAGATACATTCGGCCACTAATAAAATAGTCACAAAAACTTATTGGATTCCAATTCAGCTTCTAAAATGACTATAATTAACTACTAAATTTTGGTCACCAAAAGATACATTCGGCCACTAATAAAATAGTCGCGAAAACCTATTGGATTCCACATTCACATCTAAAATACTATAATTAACTACTAAATTTTGATCACCAAAAGATACATTCGGCCACTAATAAAATAGTCGCAAAAACCGTTTGGATTCTACATTCAGCATCTAAAAGTTACAATTAGCCACTAAATTTTGGTTACAAAAAAATACATTCGTCGACTATAAATGTTGCGAAAGCCTAAAATAAACCTTTTACGAAATTACCTTACACCTTTGGCGTCTAATTTGTGTGGGATTCGTGATAAATTCTTAGCCACTCACTAAAACTGACATTTTGCAACTAATTGATTAGTCGCTATACAATTTTACCAAATTACCCTTCAACTTTTAGCGTCTAAGTTGGGGGACTATTTTGACCAGCATTTACCGACTATTTTGATAGTCGCAAAAAAAAAAACTTTTTGCGTCTAAACCACAATATAGACGCGCTATGAATCTGCGACCAGCCTACTGCAACTAAAGGGGCACCAACCGAATTTAGACTCTAAAAATGGCTTAGCGTCTAAATGTGACTTTCTGCGTCTAATTTTGCTAGACGCAGAATGCCAGTTTTCTTGTAGTGTGACGAATATTTCTTATTAGATCAAGTGAAGAATTACAAGTATAGTGATAGGCTTAATGAAATTGTGGATCCTATCATTCTTAGAAACGGATTGTGTGCTAAAGAAGATCAGCAGTTGCAATCTTTTATAGACCTCGCCTTTAAATGTGTCTCCCAATCAGCTGAAGAAAGACCACCAATAATTGATGTGGCGAAACAACTGAGAAAAATATATCACTCTGGTTAATGTCCTAATTTAAGTTATACAACTGTTACCTTGTTTATTAAGAGTTTCTTTCCTTGTTTATGGATCATTGTCTTATGTATCTTGTTGGTATCAGTAGATGAAGAAATACAACAGTTACAGGGAAGTTCTGAATTCCTCCCATTGTGTAAGTGCAAGGAATCGAGTCGTGTTGAAGAATTTGTTGCAGGCATATTAGTTTATGATATGCTTCCACCATTTCAAAAATGTTTTCCAACCATTCAAGTGATTAGCGATGTCCACTCGAGTGATCTCAGATCGGTTAGTAGTTTATGTAAGGGATAATTAATTTAAACCCCCTGAGGTATCAGAATTAACAGAGAACCCCCTGCCATAAGTGAGACATTACCATTGTTAAATTTGGGAAGCTCATTGTCTTTGGAGTAATGGTATGCACCATTGTTAAAGCTCCTGGATTGGTTGTCTCAATAATACCACAATACCTATAAATCAAGTTGAAACATGCTTCATGATTTCTCCCCTACACTCTCCAAAGCCAAACTCTTTCCTCTGTAGAGTTGGTAATTCCTAATCTTCACACCCGAATTCTTATATGACTCTTATGATATTTCTTTAACTTTCACTTTGGGGTTTTGTTCGAATATATCAATGAACTCCTTGGCAACCCAAATTGAAGTAACATCCTTATCTGATCTCAGCCTTTGGCAATTATGTTCGTCAGTAAAAGTCTTGATTTCGAAGGATTTGTCTTCACCACTTGCTAAAGACAAATGGATTCTCCAAGGGCAGCCTTCAGCAGCACACTCTGCAGTGAACTTGTACCTTTCATTCTTCACCCTCTTCAATTGAAACCTTGCTTTCACTAAATGCTTAGTTGTTAACTTGCTCTAAATCCCTGAACATCATGCTAGCCTCCAGCTTGGGTGGCTCCTTCTTGTTAGCTTGCTCTTTGTATTGTCTAGCTTTCAGTTCCTCTGATACACCGAAAGATTGTTTTAACCTTATTGTATTTGCATCACAAATGAGTCATAAAAATATTTTGATATTGATGGGATGTTGCTTGGAGACTCAAATTCCCACTCTGGTTTTTGAATCTACATAGTATGGTTCTCTTGCTGACCGAATTTATCGTCCTTATCAACCCCATTTTAAGCCTCTACTGTTAACACATAGATTGAAGATTGCAATGGATATAGCTAATGTTGTCGCATATCTCCATGTTGGATTTGCTAGGCCCATCGTTTTTCGATATATCAAACCCTCGAGTATCTTATTCCATGAACAATATGTTGCGAAACTATTCAATTTTTCACTATCCAAGTCTATTCCAGAAGGTGAAACCCACGTAAGAGATAGTGTGATGGGAGAGTTTGGATTTGTTGCACCGAAGTACCTCACTACAGGTCATTGCAACGAGAAAAGTGATGTTTATAGTTTTGGAGCATTACTAATCGTACTTTTCACTGGACAAAGGATTACTTATCTCTCACGTCTTAAAACTAGTGATAAACATTCGTTATGGGAATGTGTGGATAAGTATTTCAAACAGAGTAGTGTTAATAAGATAGCAGATCCTGTAATTGTTAGAGACCTGATATACAAGACCTCCCTACTTCCAAGAAACATCGCTTCTAGTTAGGTAAAATCAGCTTCATATCTTTTAATATATGTAAGTGCCCATTGCGGAGTTCTCTCAAATTCATTTTTCTGTTTTCTTCATCTCAATACTTGAATTAGACATTACTAGGTACACAGACCTTTTAGCCTGACTGATGTAAATATTTACTGTAACTGCTATGTGTGAACTCTTATACATTTGTTAGCATATTTTCCCTTTTCTTTACATTAGACAGTGATCTTGATTGAGAAGAATCCAGTAATTTCCTTGCAAACAGATGAGACAGTTAGAACTATGGCCAGTTTTATATGTATAAATTAATATATTTATTGGGGCTTTATACAGGTTATAGATGATTACTTGTTTGAGGAAAAGAAAGAACTTGCAAAACACAGATGAATCAATATTCTTGATGAAGAATGGCCAAATTTTACTAGAAAAATCGATTACCTCTTGTAATGGTAAATGTAATCTTATTCGCGGTTTCACTACTGACGAGCTCAAGAATGCAACAGACAACTATGCCCTGCAGAAAGTTATAAGAGATGGATATGTTTATAAACTGTATGAAGGTGTTCTGCAGGACCGCACAGTTTCTATTATGAAGTTCAATGACGTTCTGGATGATTGTGAAGATTGTTTCAATAACATTGTATTTTCATCGCGGATAAGTATCTGCAAAAATGTTTTGAAGTTGACTGGATGCTATTTAGATACTCGAATTCCCATTCTGGTTTTTGAACTTGTGCAGTTTGGCACTATTGCTAATCATATTTACCATCATTCCCATTTTGAGGCTTTAGAATTGTCACAAAGGCTCAAAATTGCAATGGGGATAGCTAATGCAGTTGCATATCTCTATTTTGGATTCCCCAAGCCTGTTGTGTTTCTAAATATCAAACCATCAAGAATCTTTCTCAATGAAAATTATGTTGCCAAACTATTTGATTTTTCACTTTCTGTGACTATTCCAGAAGGTGAAATGTAATACTCCGTATTTTCTTTGTGGATTTTATTTAATTTTATTTATGTGAATCTAGGGGGTAATGTGTAAGAATTGAAACTTTTTGGAGACGCTTTAGTAAGAAATAAGGCCTGGTGGGTCTATTAAATAGTTTTGCAGGAGCACTTAAGTGAAATTGGAAGTGTGAAAATCTTTCAACGACATTATGAAATTGATTAAAGATGAGGAATTTTGGGTTGCAAGATGTAAGAATAAGAGACTAAGGGATGCATGTATAATTGGCCATTGCAAGATGGATTAAAGGAATTTTTTTTTGGAGAATCAGCCCCCGATTTTGGCACCTTGTTTTGCCAATGTTGGTTGTAGATTTATATTAAATTGAAATGAGGAGAAGAAGAATGGGGGAGTGGAGAAAGAGAGGGCGGAGAGAGTGAAAGGAAAAAGGGTGAGAGAGCGAGAAGTTTGTTTTTTTTTTTTTTTTCCTCTTTTTGCCTTCATTCTCCTATGTAAATTGAAAAAAAAAAAAAATTGAGTTGTAGTAGAAGAGGGCCGAGAGGTGATTTGTAGGGGAAGAATTTTCCAAAAAAAAAAATGTTTGGGTAAAGTACTAAGTGTTAGGCATGCATTTTCAATCCTTCATCATATTTATTCAATCTTTCATTCCCTCATTGTTTAGATCCCAAATCTTATTTCAATTTTGAATCAAATAGGTGAAGAAGATAGGAGGACTGAGCACTTGACTTGAAAGCAAAGGAGAAAGTGTGAGTGGAATAGTATTGCATAAAAGAATTCATGCATCCAAAATTTCATCTCGGTTTGGATTCTATTTTGCTCATATGGGTGTTGACCTTGCTGAATGTTTCTTTTTTATTAATGAAATGGTTTAATTATGTGCTGGAGTGGAAGTGGAAATGAAAAAAAAAAAAAATTATATTAAGAAGGTGTTAAGATTGGGCAAATGAATTTTCATTAATAGGAATGGTTATAAAATCGTGTTTATGTAAATTTTAATCTTTCCTCTAGATTAAACGGAAATGCATGCTATGGTTGGTTAATTTGATTGGCTATTGGGCTCATTTATTTGTTTACAATTGGGAGTATTTGATCTGTTTTGAACCAAATGGTGTAGAATGAATTGGAAGGTTGTGGGTTAGTTATAAAATTGACTTGATTAGAAACATGAATATGGGTGGATACTAAATGAATTTTGAATTTTATATTTGAATGTTCTGCTAAGCTTTGTGATGAGTGGATGGCTGGCAAATTTGGGAAATAATGGGCATGAGACTGCTGGCCTATACTGTGTAGAATGTGAACGTTTACTTTGCCTAAAAGTTTAGAGATTGGTTGGGATTTTTGGCGGTAATGGATATGAAATCATGAGCTAGATGTTTACTTAAAGTGTATATATATTTTTGCTGTATTGTTGTTGCATTGTTGGCTAGATATTTTTGGAGTCATCAGTGTAGTAATTGCTGCATTTTCATAAACTGTGGACTTGATTAAATGTGATTGTTGAGTGGGAATGAGTGCTCGAAGTTGGTAAAATAGTAGAATGGATATTAAGGTAGAATGGATATGAAGTTAATGAGTTATTAAATACTATAAATGGTACATTTTACACACTTTTGTATTTTGACATGGTGAGCACTGAAATCATGATTACATGCCCTTCTTATTGAAATGTTATATCATATTATACTCTATATATAAATACACAAGGCATGCATGATGCATATTTGGAATGAAATTGTGGATGCATGATCATTAATATGTTTGACTTCTGGATTGGAAACCACCCTTGTTTAGCATCCGTCCCCTTCCAAACATTAGCTGGTATTTGATATTTATCCTCATGCGTGCATTGAGGTGGTCCGTCCTACCGAACGATTGGGATATCCTACTAGGACAAGACGGACACCTGACAAGCTCCAGGCGGTTATTGGCCGATGTGAGATTTTGGATGCCCCAACAGTAGACTGTGGGTCGAGCATGGTTATCCAGTGATGTTCGTACCATCTCGAGGGTAGACTGCAGATGGTGCCACCCCGAGGGTAGATTGCGGGTGGTGTCGTTTCATGTCTGAGTTAGGGACTAATTCGAAGAGTTATGATCTAGGTCCCTAAGTGGTAGTAGGGTGGTGATAATTGATTTATTTTATATGATAGTAGTGTGTGATTTCATGGCATCCGAGAATAATATATGGTGTTTGTTGCCTCATCATATGTTGTGTGGCATGCAACTGGATTATTCATGCATGTTTTCAAAGTTAAAGTTATTTTCGTATAAAATATATTATCCGCTCACTGGGCTTTCTAGCTCACTGTTTTATGTTTCCTCCCCCAGGATTGTAGATGAATGTTTTTTTTATGAATGTTTTTTTTTTATAGAGCATTCACTTTCCTTTCGGGATCCTCAGTCTCTTGAAGCGCCCGGATCTGGTGGGATAGGGATACTCGGGAGGGGGTGTGACATGAAACCCATATAAATGACGCGGTGGCAGGAACAGTGGGATATATTGCTCCAGAGTACATGATTACAATTGATTGCAATGAGAACTGCAACGTTTATAGTTTTGGTATTTTACTTCTTGAGCTTTTGACAGGACAAACAGTATATGATCCTTCACGCAGCAAAAATGGAGCTGATTATTGAATCATGAGATGAAATTCATTGAAGATGGTAGGTTTAAGGAGGTAGTAGATCCCATCCTTCTTAGAGACAAATCATGTCCTATAAAAGAGACGCTATTACAAGCTTTGACAGAGCTCATTCTTAAATGTGTTTGTGAATCTGCTGAAGACAGACCAATGATTGATGTGGCAAACAACTTAGGCAAATGTATCAATTGTCCAGTTAAAATGATATTTAATGTGCTTTTTTATGTTCCTAGCTAGTTAATTAGAACTACTGAAGTTATTGTATCAGGGATTTGTGAACAGGTTAGGTGAGTTCAATTGCTTTGGTGAACATCATGTCAATGCGTGCAGATGTTGTATGAAGGATCAGTTTTTATGTGCTTTTCTGTTCTCAATTTTTTGCCTAATTTGTTCCCCAGTTAATCATGAGTACTGAAAGCGTTTCATAGATGGATTTAAGAGTAAAATAGATGAGTTCAGAGAGTTTTAAACATATGGGCAAGATCAATATAACAGAAAGGTGTACATCCTGAAAAATTACATAGAAGCATATACGGAAATTGTTAATCACTTTTTTGAACTATGATAACTAGGAGAGGCGATACATTTGCCTGAGCTGTTTTGCGGCGTCAATCATTGTTGGCCTTTCTTCTGCAGATTCAGAGACACATTTCACAGCAAGCTGTGTAACAGCTTGCAATTGCAGGTCTTTTCCAGAATAAGGCTCCTTTCCAAGAATCATGGGATCTACCATCATATTATACCCACCTTCAATATATTTCTTCATAAGCTTCTCTAATATATGGTCATAGTCTGGTTCAGCTTGAAGAATATTAGACATTCTGTTTCCAGCCAAAAGCTCGATCAGAAGACAACCAAAACCATAAACATCAGTTTTTTCATTTAATTTACCTTTTTTTAAGTACTCAGGTGCAATATATCCCAATAGACCTTGCACTGCGATTTCAAAGTGAGTTTCACCTTCTGGAATAGACACAGACCACGATAAATCAAACACTTTAGCAATATTTTGATCATTGAATAAAACGTAGCCTGGTTTGTACATTCTACAAACAATGGGCCTAGAAAATCCAAAGTGGAGATATGCTACTGCATTAGCCACCTCCATTGCAATCTTTAATCTCTGTGTCAATGGTAAAGGTTTAAAATGGGGTTCAAAAGGATGGTAAACAAGGTTAGCAAAAGTGTAATACTGTACAGATTCAAAAACTAGAATGGGAGTTTGAGTCTCTAAGCAGCATCCGATCAACTTCAAAATATTTTTATGACCCATTTGTGAGGCGAATACAATGCAATTAATGGACTCTTTATTTGCTTGTTCGATGCTTGTATTGTCTGCGTACTTCATAACAGAAATAGGGCCATCCTTCAGGAAACCATTATATAGTCTATAGGAATCGTCAATTAGAATAACATTTCCCACGTCGTAGTTGCTTGTTGCTGTCTTGAGTTCTTTAGCAGAGAAATTACGAATTGGATTTCGTTTACCATTAAACAAGGTAATCAACTCTCTTAGTAAAGTTTCGCCATTCTTCAGTATATTAACCCGACCCTCCTTTGTCGCCATCGAACCTATCTACAAAGTCATGAAATGGTGTCACTTTTTCTGATTTCTGCTGAAGTATATTAAGAACAATTAAGGGAAAGAAAAAATTGATCCATAATATGTACAACTAGGAATTTAGTTTTATAAGGTGACGAAATTGATCCATTTTTCTTCATGTCAGTCAAGATTGAAGTCAGACTATGATCAGTCAAGATTGAAATCAGGTGACGAAAAATGTAAATCAACATATGTTACACATGCCAACTATGAACATACAGAAACAGAAGCCAGAAAGCCCATAAAATCGGCACCACTTTTGAATGAAGCAAAAACAATTTGGAAAGATTAGTATTGGCTAGACAACAACAAACGGAGGCATATTCACATACAGATAGACATACTGAGAATTAACATATGATAAATAAAAAAGGATATGAACCTTTGAGCAGGACATGATCGTGTGAGGGAAAGCTCTGCAGCTCACAGTTACATATGAAAAGCAAAGCAGAGTGAATGAACATATTCATATCTAATCAGAAACGTGGATTCATAGGAGTAAGGAAGGGTTCCTAGTCAACCAAGAGTCAAGTCAAGCCAGTCACTACCATATATGTAGACTTCATTAACCTAACATACTATTAGCCCACTTGGCAGAAATTTCCTGGAGCCAATTGCAATTTCCATGACTTTTGAACTGTAGACTATATTTACTAATTAATTCAAAGTTGACACATATATAAGACTTCCATACATCCAAGAATCAACCTTTCTGATTACATAAAATCAGCTTCAGATTCAGTTAGTCTATATGTAACTGCCAATTTCGGTGCTCTGTCAAATTATTCCCACATACACTTTTTCCCCTAACTGATGGAAAAATTCACTGTAACTGCTATGTACAGAAAGTATTCTCTTCTCTTCACAGTAGAAAGTGATAAACTTTATGTTATTAAACCCATCAATCATCTAGTTAGAAAGGTGCACATCCTTAAAATTACATAGAAGCATGGAAATTATGAATCAGAACTTTAAACTAAGATATTTACAAGAGGAGATACATTTGCCTGAGCTGTTTTGCCACATCAATCATTGTCGGCCTTTCTTCTGCTGATTCAGAGACACATTTTAAGACAAGCTCTGCAAGGACGTGCAGTTGCAGCTTGTTTCCAGAATATGATCCAAGAATCATGGGATCTACTATTTTGTTAAACCCATCTTCAATAAAATGCTTCATACTATTCTGTAAACTATATCCAACGGCAGTTCCAGGACAGGGAAGAACATTCACTTTCTCTCCAACGAAGACCTTGAGCAGAGAAACACCAAAACTACAAACATCACTTTTTTCACTAAATATACCATTTAATACGTACTCAGGTGCCAAATATTCATATGTCCCTTCCACTCTATCAGTTTGGATGTGGGGTTCACCTTCTGGAATAAAAACAGATAGTGAAAAATCAAACAATTTGGCAACATATTGTTCATGGAATACAACGTTGCTTAGTTTGATCATTCTAAACACAATGGGCCTAGGAAATCGAAAATGGAGATATGCGATTGCATTAGCAATCTCCATTGCAATCTTTAATCTATGTGTCAATAGTAATAGCTCAAAATGGGGTTCAAGAGGACGGTAAATACGATTGGTAAGAGTACCATACCCTGCAAATTCGAAAACTAGAATGGGAGTTTCAGTCTCTAAGCAACACCCGATCAACTTCAAAATATTTTTATGACTCATCAGTGATGCGAATACAATGCCATTGAAAGACCCTTGATAACCATCCAAGCTGCCTTTGGTTTGTTTGTATTTGTCTTCAAACTTCATAACAGAAATAGGGCCATCCTTCAGGAAACCTTTCTATAGTCTATAGTTACTATCTCTTGTAATAACATTTCCAGTGTCATAGTTGCTTGTTGCTGTCTTGAGTTCTTCAGCAGAGAAAGCACGGATTGGATTCCGTTTACCATTAAAGGAGGTAATCAACTCTCTTAGTAAAATTTCACCATTCTTCAAAAATGTTGGGTTATCTATCTCTTCCTGATGCTTTCTTGTCCTCAGAAAACAACTCATCGAACCTATCCACAATTCATCAAATGGTTTCACTATTTTCCTTTTCTGATGAACATCAATTATGTTAAGAACAAAATAGGAAATTTAACTTGAGATTGGAATTTATTTACAAGATCTTAAAATCTGCAGCAGAATTTATGAAACTACAGGACCAAAAGAAGTGGGTTATTTGCTTTCTGATCATTTACCAGATCATCAATATTTTCATCTTCTGGAAATTTACTTTGTTTCAAGCCTGAAAGTCTACTATTGTTCATGGAATACAACGTTGCTTAGTTTGATATAGAAAGCTCTGCAGCTCACGGTTGCATATAAAATGTGAAGCAAGATGAAAGAACATGATGAACATATATACAGTTTCTTACAAGTATGAAAGTCTTCCAAGTCAACCATGAGACAAGTCAATAATGGTTGGCTTGGGCTTCATTTAGGGGCCCATATTGTGGGACCATTCATCCCTGGTTGGTTTTGATTGTTTTTGAGAGTGTGCATATAAATAAGAACTGGGCCGACTTTGAAACTATTTATCATGGATTGGGTGTTTGTCAATTACCCAAAACATTAAAATCCCTAGACTTCAACGGTGAAGAGTTGATGTAGAATTTCAGAAAAAAAATAAAAAAATGGAAATTTCATAGTCTTGTAAAGCTTGCTCAGTTCAATGATTGGTTCAGCAAATTGACCAACTAGTCTTTATCACTTTGAATATGTCATGGTTGATCGGCAGGACCTCCATACCAGCTCTACTATAATAAAAAAACCACCTTTCTGTTTTATATATTTGTTCTGCTTCAGATTTTATCGACAAGTTATCTGATCAAACTCAAGCCTCTCCAGCTCTATCGATTGTGAAAGGGTCGGCCATCCGCAGGTAATTTAACATCCTCTTTTCTCAGCTGTTTTTTATTTTACATATGCTTCACATGTTCCATAGTTGTAAAGGTGAAAAAGTATTTCATGGAATTATGAACTGGTTAGAATGAACTGGTTTTGAATAATACTATACCAATAACTCTATGTCACAAATTTCTCACAACCCTGACATGACAGCTCGTAATTGGTCTATTCATAATGGGTCCCACATGAGTCTGCATGGATCCTACTAATTAATTGCGAGTTGATCAATTGCAAGTTTTCACGTCAGGTTGAGAGAGAAAATTTGTTAAAAATAATTGTTAGTATAGCATTACTTGTTGGTTTTTCAGAAAACAGTATAAGAAAAAGGTAGATGACACACCAAGCTTAAGGAATGGCGCAATTTTATTAGAGAAGTTGATTACCTCGTCTAATGGTAAACAAAATCCAATTAGAAGTTGTGGAATTTGTGGATACCCAACGAGTATAGGCTGGGGTGGAATTTGTGGACACCAAACGGATATAGGCTGGGATGGAATTTATGAATACCCAACAAGTATAGGCTAGGGTGGAATTTGTGAATACCTAGTGGAGTGGAATGTGTGAATAAACAGTGAGTATAGGCCGAGGTAGAATTTGTGAATACCCAGCAGGTATAGGCTGGGGTGGAAATTGTGGACACTCAATAGGTATAGGCTTGAGTAAGAATGGGTTTGGTGTTGGGAGATACATACTCAGCTTTGGTGATGGTTGCATCGGTTTATGAGATTTTTAATACGAATGATCCATGGCATTCAGAAAGCTGGTACGAGGGTGCGAATTTCTTGTTTGGCATGAGTTGGAACAATTTAAGGTTTTACGATATCCAAAAATTATATTGGGTTATTGTTGTATTATTAAGTGAGTGGTTATGTGCTGCATGACATGCAAACGGTTTTCCTCATGCATGTTTTTAAAGCTAAAAGTTATTTTCGTATATAAACTGTATTATCCACTCATTGGGCTTCCCAACTCACTGTTTTATGTTCCTTCCTCTATAGGATTGCATATAAGGTACGTAAGGTGCTTACTACATGCTTTCGGTTGGCCAAAAAACGCATGTTCATTGGCAAGATGCTTATACATGTTAGAGATCTCTAATACAATGTTTTATATAAATTGTTTTCTAAGATTCACGTTTTTCAGAATCACGTTTTGTGTTATACAACTATCATTAAAGTTTTTATGAAAGGAGTTTTATAAATTGTTTTCGAAAAATTTCACCCTCCTCTAAGGATCCTGAGTCCTGCGAAACGCTCAGATACGACGAGATAGGGATCACCCGGGAGAGGGTGTGACCATTTTTGTGTTATAATACTGTCATTAAAGTAAGTATATTTATTAGTGAGCCGGAACTGTACTGATCATGACTCTGAATGAAAAGGTATACTAGATCACATAACTGATGGTTAACAGGGAAGACTTTTTTATCATAGTAAGATAATAAATCTCGTGTATAGTTTTACCTGACACTGATATTTATTTTTTTATGAATTTCATATGTAGTAATCATCCTAAAATAATAATCATTTTTTGGAAGACTTCTATACCTCTTATTAAGAAACTATGTAATCAAGTTTTATGTTCTTTTTGCTTCAGATTTTGCATATTATAAGTCGATTAATCTCTCTCAAACTCAAGCCTAGCTAGCGAACATTCTCTTTACTGCGAAACCTGAATTGGCCGTCTGCAGGTTTGTAATTTACATATCTTGATGACTTGATCCATCTACGGTGGTTTACCTTACCAATTTCATGAAATATGACCCATTTTACATATCTTGATTTATTTCTACCCTTGAAGAGAAGTGTCTGAAAATATTTACTTCTTTTTTTTCTTTTTTCCTTCAATGGAGTTATTGAATTTCGTCGAATTCAATCTTTTCCCAGATAAGTGAACGTGCATAATAAGTTCTTGTATAAAGGATAACTTCATTTTTTTATTTTTCATATTTGTGAATAGGTTTAGATGGCTTGGATTTTCANTTTTTTTTTTTTTTTTGTCACATGATAATTGAACATGGGAAACAAAGGGATAGAGTAAACAAATAATTTATCTAATAAAATACACCTATTTATTTTGTTTTAACATTTTTTTTTCTTAATTTTATGATTTGCATCTTTTATATTATTATTTTTAACTATTATTATAATTAAAAAATATTTTTCTCTGATCTAAACACTTATTATTTTTATTTTATTGGATAAAATTATATTATTATAACTGATGGGAACTGTACTGATCATGACTCTGCATGAAAAGGTAGACTTAGATCACATAACTGATGGTTGACAGGGGAAGACTTCTGTACCTCTTAGTAAGAAGCTATGTAATCCAAGTTTCTTTCTGTATATGTTATGTTCTTTCTGCTTCAGATTTTGCATATTATAAGTCCATTAATCTCTCTCAAACTCAAGCCTAGCTAGCCAACGTTCTCTTTACTGCCGGAATTGGCCGTCTGCAGGTATGTAATTTACATATCTTGATCTTTCTGCGGTGGTTTACCTTACCAGAATTCAATCTTTTCCCAGATAAGTGAACCTGCATGATAAGTTCTTGTATGAGGGATCACTTCATTTGTTTATTTTTCGTATTTGTGAATAGGTTTAGATGGCTTGGATTTTCAGAAGAAGAAGAAACTGTGAGGACAAGGTAGACAACATCAATCTTTTAAAGAATGGGGAAAAGTTTTTAGAAATGTTGATTACCTCTTGTAATGGTAAATATAATCCAGTTAGGGGTTTTTCTGCTAGTGAGCTCAAGATAGCAACAAACAACTACGACTTCCAAAAAGTTGTAACATATGGCAGATTCCATAAATTGTTCAAAAGTTTTCTTCAGAATCGTCCAGTTTTTGTCTTGAAGTTTGAAGGAAGTAAAGGGTACCAATATTGTTTCAACAACATTGTATTTGTGTCACAAATACGCCACAAAAATGTTTTGAAGTTGATCGGATGTTGCTTAGAGACCGAAATTCCCATTCTAGTGTTTGAATCTGTACAATATGGCACTCTTGCCGATCTTATCCATAATCCTGATCATAAACTCCAGGTTGATCCTTTGTTGTTGAAGCATAGGTTAAAAATAGCCACGTAAATTGCCAATGCGATTACAAATCTTCACATTGGCTTCCCCAGGCCAGTCGTTTTTAAAGATATAAATCCATCACATATCTTATTGGATGAACAATATGTTGCCAAACTCTTCGACTTTTCGGTGAGCGAATCGATTCCAGAAGGTGAAACCCACATTAAAGATGATGTAGTGATGGGTACAATCGGGTTTGTTGCCCCTGAGTATTATGCTACATTTGATTATAATGAGAAATGCGATGTTTATAGTTTTGGCGCATTGCTACTTGAGCTTTTGACTGGACATAAAATCCTTGATCTTGCTCGTCTTGCGAGGAAGGATGATTGCATAATGTTGGATTATGTGAAGAAACATATTCAAATGGTAAATCCTGAAATTGGTGGAGATGGATCGAATCCTGAGAAAGAGAAGCAATTGCTGAGTACTCTTGTACAACTTATTTCGAAATGTATCAGCAGAATAGCAGAAGATAGGCCAACAATGATGGATGTGGCTAAACAACTAAGGCAAATGTATCTAGCTGGTGCTGTTGCTGCTGCTTAGTGTTCTAACTTTGTATTCATGATTAGGAATAGTTTCTCAAGTTTTATGTAATCTTATCAATGATTTGTCTGTGGATCTTTCCAATGTGTTGATACAGTTTCACTTTAAATTTTACATGTTCAAAGGCCTTATTATTTCAGGAAGTCTTATATGAAGTTGATTAAGAATTGTACAAGGGTCTTCTCTCCATCATTATAGTTTCAAACTATAAGTCAATATATTAACTTTACCCTTATATAATATTCATAAATATAAACCATGCAAATACTCAACACATTCACTCTCAGTAATTGTTTTCTTTAGGCCACCATGTTTGACTCCTTTGAGCCACAGGATCAATATCGATGATGGAAATTTCCTGGAAGCCAACTTTTCTCCCAACTTTTTATAAATATGTAGACTACATGCTACAATTTCGTGGTTGACAAGGAAGGCATCCATACTTGTGATCAGAAACTACACTTCTGGTTATATATATGTTCATTCATTAATCTGCTTCAAATTTTATATTTAAGTGTCAATTGCAGAGAGCTTTGTCTCNTTTACATGTTCAAAGGCCTTATTATTTCAGGAAGTCTTATATGAAGTATTAAGAATTGTACAAGGGTCTTCTCTCCATCATTATAGTTTCAAACTTTAAGTCAATATATTAACTTTACCCTTATATAAGTTTCATAAGTATAAACCACGCAAATACTCAACACATTCACTCTCAAGAATTGTTTTCTTTAGGCCACCATGTTTGGCTTTGCAGCTCACAGTTGCATATAAAATGTGAAGCAAAATGAAAGAACATGAACATATACATATACAGTTTCTTACAAGTATGGAAGTCTTTCAATTCAACCATGAGACAAGTCAAGAATGGTTGGCTCGGGCTTTCATTTAGGAGGCCCCTATTCTGAGACCATTCATCCCTGGTTGGTTTTGGTTGTTTTTGAGAGTGTACATAAAAATAAGAACTGGGCCTACTTTGAAATTATTTATCATGGATTGGGTGTTTTGTTAATTACCCAAAACTAATTACGCAATCCATTAAAACCCGAAGACTTCAACCATCAGGGAAAGAGCAGCAATTGCAGCCTTTTATAGACCTTATCTTTCAATGTCTAAACACACCAGAAGAGGGGCCAACGATGATTGATGTGGCAAAGCTTCTCAGACGAATACGTAAGTTTTGTTAAGTCTCAACTTGGTAGTTAAAATATCTTAAACTTTCACTTGAGTTGAGGGTGTATGAGTGCCTTCCTTGTTTGTGGACTCCTGGAAATATTCACAGCATGTAAATTCCTTTCATGCATAGACGTAATTCCGTCTTGTTTAATTGAATTTTGAAACAGTAGGACCATGAGATGTGCAGAATTGAAATACTAACAAAGCACATAAGAGGACACATATAAACAAGTTATATATATCAGCAAAACGAGAAGACTTACGAATTTCTCGTCTTGGCCGATTAACAACAATTGATTCTTGTTGAGGTGCTTAGGAAGAATCCTCCTCTTCATGACTCCTCCATCATAGGAGTTTCATTTTCAACATTTTTGATTGGGCTAACTGATGTTGTTTCAAACTCCACTTGTTGCTTATATATATATATATATATATATGGTGATTGGGGTTCGGACGAGTTTGTATGCTCTCAACTAATCCTTGGAATTTATTGAATATCCTACAAACCTAATGCACCAAGTAAATCACGAATGTGGTAGGTAGTCACTTGATGGGACTCGAACACAAGACCTCTAGCTAGTTTTTGATGACAAATATGATATTGAAATCAAGCACAAGCAATAAATGTAACACTTAATTTACCTAGCCTTTACAAACATTAGACAATTGCCTTAATTTTCTTTTAAGCATGTTTATATCTAGAAGATTGTAAAATGAATGACCTTGGTAATGTTTAAAAATTCAATGGGATAATGAGCAGATAAAATTTTATTTAAAGCATAAATCAGAGAATTTATTAAAATATGGTGTAAGAAATAGAAGATTGTCAAAGTGCTTACTCATAAGTGATGGTATATGGGTAATCATGGAGTTTGGTGGATTAAATGAGGAAATTGAATGTTGATGTTAATGAAATGACATGTGATAGGACATAGGAGGGTTCTATTTGTAATTAAGAAACATATTGAGAATGATACGTTTGATAAGATGGTAAATCCTGAAATTGGTGGAGATGGATCAAATCCTGAGAAAGAGAAGCAATTGCTGAGTACTCTTGTACAACTTATTTCGAAAGCAGAAGATAGGCCAACAATGATGGATGTGGCTAAACAACTAAGGCAAATGTATCTAGCTGGTGCTGTTGCTGCTGCTGCTGCTTAGTGTTCTAACTTTGTATTCATGATTAGGAATAGTTTCTCAAGTTTTATGTAATCTTATCAATGATTTGTCTGTGGATCTTTCCAATGTGTTGATACAGTTTCACTTTAAATTTTACATGTTCAAAGGCCTTATTATTTCAGGAAGTCTTATATGAAGTTGATTAAGAATTGTACAAGGGTCTTCTCTCCATCATTATAGTTTCAAACTATAAGTCAATATATTAACTTTACCCTTATATAATATTCATAAGTATAAACCATGCAAATACTTAACACATTCACTCTTAGTAATTGTTTTCTTTAGGCCACCATGTTTTGACTCCTTTGAGCCACAGGGTCAATATCGATGATGGAAATTTCCTGGAAGCCAACTTTTCTCGCAACTTTTTATGAATATGTAGACTACATGCTACAATTTCGTGGTTGACAAGGAAGGCATCCATACTTCTGATCAGAAACTACACTTCTGGTTATATATATGTTCATTCATTAATCTGCTTCAAATTTTATATTTAAGTGTCAATTGCAGAGAGCTTTGTCTCAAAATCAGCCCTCGCAAGCATTTTCTTTAGTTCATTCTTGTTCAATTACACACAGGTACATATTCTCTTTATCTGCTGCGTTTCCTTAGTATGTCTATCTGTGTATAAATTTACTTTCATTAATAATTAAATATATGTAGTTGACTGATATACAAGACCTCCTTACTTCCAAGAAACACCGCTTCTAGTTCTAGTCATGTAAAATCAGCTTCAGATTCAGTTTATTTATATATATATGTAAGTGCCAATTGCGGAGTTCTCTCAAATTCATTGTTCTGTTTTCTTCATCTCTATCCTTGAATTAGCCATTAACAGGTACATAAACCTTTTAGCATGACTGTTGTAAATATTTACTGTAACTGCTATGTGTGAATTCTTATACTGTAGTTAGCATATTTTCCCTTTTCTTTACATTAGACAGTGATCTTCTTGGTTGAGAAGAATCTTGTAATTTCCTTGCAAACAGATGAAACAGTTAGAACTATAGCCAGTTTTATGTGTATACATTAATATATTTATTGGGGTTTTAGACAGGTTATAGATGACTTCGTGCCTGAGGAAAAGAAATAAGTTGCAAAACACAGATGAATCAGTATTGTTGATGAAGAACTGCCAAATTTTGCTGGAAAAGTTGATTACCTCTTGTAATGGTAAATGTAATCTTATTTGCGGTTTCTCTGCTTACGAGCTCAAGAATGCAACAGACAACTATGCCCTACAGAAAAGTTATAAGAGATGGATATGTCTATAAATTGTATAAAGGTGTTCTGCAAGACCACACAGTTTCTATTATGAAGTTCAATGACATTCTGGATGGTTGCGAAGATTGTTTCAATAACATTGCATTTTCATCGCGGATGAGTAGCTACAAAAATGTTTGAAGTTGATTGGATGCTGCTTAAAGACTCGAATTCCAATTCTGGTTTTTGAACCTGTGCAGTTTGGCACTCTTGCTGATCATATTTATCATCAACCCCATTTATCATCAACCCCATTTTGTGCCTTTAGTATTGTCAGAAAAGCTCAAAATTGCAATGGGGATAACTAATGCAGTTGCATGTCTCCATTTTGGATTCCCCAGGCCTATTGTGTTTTGAAATATCAAACCATCAAGAATCTTTGTCAATGAAAATTATGTTGCCAAACTGTTTGATTTTTCACTTGCTGTGACTATTCCAGAAGGTGAAACCCACATAAATGATGCAGTGGTAGCAACAGTGGGATATATTGCTCCAGAGTACATGATTACAGGTGATTGCAATGAGAAATGCGATGTTTATAGTTTTGGTATATTACTTCTTGAGCTTTTGACAAGACAAACAGTATATGATCCTTCGCGCAGCAAAAATGGAGCTGATTATTGGTTATTGAATCATGCGATGAAATTCATTGAAGATGATAAGTTTGTGGAGGTAGTAGATCCCATCCTTCTTAAAGACAAATCATGTCCTATAAAAGAGAAGCTATTACAAGCTTTGACAGAGCTTATTCTTAAATGTGTTTGTGAATCAGCTGAAGACAGACCAACAATGATTGATGTGGCAAAACAACTTAGGCAAATGTATCAATTGTCCAGTTAAAATGATAGTTAATGTGCTTTTTTATGTTCCTAGCTAGTTAATTAGAAGTACTGAAGTTAATGTATCAGGGATTCGTGAACTGGTTAGATGATTTTAATTTTCAGAAGTTGATTACTTCTTTTAATAGTAGATATAATCCATTTAGTACTGGTTTCTGCTGATGAGCTCAAGAGAGCAACAAACAATTTGCAACATAAGAAGATCCCTGCAGAATCGTCTGATCTCTGTTATGAAGTTTGTACGAAGCAGGACAAATGAGTATTGTTCTAACAACATTGTATTTGCATCACAAATAAGGCACAAAAATGTTTTGAAGTTGATTGGATATTGCTTAAAGACTGAAACTCCCATTCTTGTTTCTGAATCTGTGAGAAATGGTACTCTTGCTGATCGTTTTTATGGTCGTCATCAACCCCATTTTGAGCCTTTACTATTGAAAGATAGGTAAAAATGTTGCAATGGAGATTGCTAATGCAAAAAATCTAATCTAGTAAGTGGTTTATCTGCTGAAGAAGATAGTAATACAATGTATAGAGAGTCATAATATATGGGAAAGATCAATAAACAAGAAAGGTGTACATCCTTAAATTACATAGAGCAAGTTTAAACTGTCTTACTTCAGTGAGCCTATACATTTGCCTGAGCTGCTTCGCCACATCAATCATTGTTGGCTTTTCTTCTTCTGAGACAGAGATCCATTTTAAGGTTAGCACTGCAAGGGCTTGCATTTGCAGCTTATTCCCAGAATATGGTCCATCTCCAAGAATTATGAGATCCACTATCTTATCAAACTCATCTTCAAGAATTATAAATTATACAAATTTTATTTTAACTGTCTAAAAGGGTATTTATGAAAAACCATATTAGAATTTTCTGTGCCTACATCAGAAGTATGGAAGTCTTCTAGTCAACCATAAGTGAAGTCAATCCCACTCGACAGAAATTTCCTTGCAATTTCCATGACTTTTTAAAATGTAGACTGTAAGACTTCTATATTTCCAAATAACAACCAGCTCTCTGGTTATATAAAATCAGCTTCAGGTTCATCTTTTTATGTGTAAGTATCAATCTTGGAGCTATCTCAAATCATTCCTCAGTTTTCTTCATCTCAACACGTGAACAGGTACATTAACTTTTCCCACCGACTGATGTAAAAATTTACTGTAACTGTATAGCAAATGTTTTCTCTTTTCTTCACATTAGACAGTGATCTTGGTTGAGATCTATCTTTTAATTTCCTTACAAACAGTGATCTTGGTTGAGATCTATCTTTTAACTGTTAACCAACTACTTTTATCACTTTGAATATGTCATGGTTGATCGGCAGGACTTCCATACCACCTCTGCCATAATAAAAAATCCACCTCTCTGTTTTATATATTTGTTCTGCTTCAGATTTTATCGACAAGTTATCTGCTCAAACTCAAGCCTCTCCAGCTCCGTCTATTGTGAAAGGTCCGGCCATCCGCTGGTAATTTAACATCCTCAGTTGTTTCTTATGAGCAATGACAATATTTACAATTTTTTTTTTTTTAATTTACATATGCTTCACTTGTTCCATAGTTGTAAAAGTGAAAAAGTATTTTATGGAATTATGAACAGGTTAGAATGAATTGGTTTTTCAGCAGAAGAAAGGATAAGAAAAAGGTAGATGGCAAACCATTCTTAAGGAATGGCGCAATTTTATTAGAGAAGTTGATTACCTCGTCTAATGGTAAACAAAATCCAATTAGAAGTTTCTCCATTGAAGAGCTCAAGAGGGCAACGAATAACTACCAGATACAGAAACTTATACCAGGTCATGCTTATCACCTTAAGTTTTACAAAGGCTTCCTAGATCGCCTTATTTTTGTTATGAAGTATATAGAGCCTCAAACACAATATTCTGTACAAAACTTTTGCTTTAACAACATTGTATTTGCATCAAAAATAAGCCACAAAAATATTTTGAAGTTCATCGGATGCTGCTTGGAGACTGAAATTCCCATTCTAGTTTTTGAATGGGTAGAAAATTACTCTCTTGATGATCATATTCACCGCCGTCATGAACTCAATTCTGAGCCTTTACTATGGAGGCATAGGTTGAAGATTGCAATGGAAATCGCTAATGCAGTGGCATATATTCACTTTGGACTCCCCAGACCAATTGTTTTTAGAGACATCAAGCCTTCAAATATCTTGTTAGATGAACATTTTGTTTCTAAACTCAATAATTTTTCATTATCAGCTCCTATTCCAGAAGGTGAAACCCACATAAGAAATGATCCACTAACTAGGCTAGTGGATTACATTGCACCAGAGTCCTTTCATACAAATGAATGTGACGAGAAGTGCGATGTTTATAGTTTCGGTATAGTACTACTTGAGCTTTTCACTGGACAGAAAATCCGTCGTCTTGTGGGAGAAGATGAACATTTTACAATATTAATGGACTGTATGGTGAAGCACATCGGAGATAATATTACAGTTCGATATTTTTGGGCTACCTACGTGAAGAAACATGTTGACAACAATACATTTAATGAGATAGTAGATCCTATTATTACCGGAGAAGGATCATATCATGGGAAAGAGCAGCAGTTGCAGGCTTTTATAGATCTTATCTTTCGATGTCTAAAGACACCAGAAGAAAGACCAACGATGATTGATGTGGCAAAGCAACTCAGGCAAATTTATCGATCTGCTATAAATTAATTATGTCTTTTTGAGGATGGCGCCTCTATATATGTTGTTGGTAGTTCACGTCTTCATTTCCCAATGTAGAAGTTGTAATCTTAATGTATTATACACAGAAGTAAATTAGTAATGATCAGTGCCACTCTTTTTCTTTATGATGTCTTGCTCTATATAACTCCAAACCACGTTGGTTATCGTTTACATATGAGAGCCAACCTTTAAGAATATTCAAACTTCAACGCTAAACACTGCTCCAAATCAATTAATGCATCCAAGGTTACAATTAATTCTCATTATAACATGAAGCATACAAAGTCCAAAGTTATATGTCCATAAAAAAAGCTTTGGCAAAATCGTTATACGGTGAAAGCTTCTATGATGATTCATTGTAACTCGGCCATGTAGACTTTTTGTCATCATCTGATCTGTTTAACCCACGGGGAAGATTTGCATATTAACCACCCTTGGGTGGCCAAGTGGTTGAATAGCGATTCACCTTAATTGTTAATAGGGATAACTACTGAAGGTTTACATGGCCATCAACTTTAGGGTCCCAAGATTAGTTAAGGTACATACAAGCTGGTCCGAACACCCCAGTTACAAAATTTAAGAAAAAAAAAAAAAAAGAAGATTTGCATATTTCCAGGAAAACGTCTCTTGCCATATCTAATCATTGTCAGAAGCCTAATTCTTCTTACGATCGTTCAGTAAAGCTTATTGAAAAGGGATTCAGTTGATCGGTTTATTTTTCACGCCTAGCAAGTCTATATATAGCAATATGTTTCTCCTGTATTATTTTTAGTTTTAGTTTTGTTCTGGTTAATATGCTTCATATGTTCCATAGATAGAGAAGTGAAGGTATTTCACGGAATTCTGAACAGGTTAATTAGAATGAGTTGGTTTTTCCGGAGAAGAAATGACTCGGAAAAGATAGATAATCATAACGCAGCATTATTAAGGAATGGCGCAGTTTTATTAGAGAGGCTAATTACGTCTGCAGGTAATGTTAGACGTAATCCAGTTACTAATTTCTCAGCTGAAGAGTTCAAGATAGCTTTCCTGATGACAAATCATAATGACTTTGATTTGTACAAAGCTTCCGTGAATCGTCCAGTTATTGTCATGAAATACAAAGCTGTTGAATCGCCGCAAGAAGCAGATGCCTCTAATGAAGCTGTAGAAAATTCTTCAGGAAATGCAACTGAGAGTCGAGCTTGTTCTTCAAAAGCTGGTGAATGATCTACTGAGGAATGGGTGCATAATCTTGATAATATGCCTCATGTAGAACAATGTGCTTGAAGAAACATCCTGAAAATAATGCATTCAATGAGATAGTAGATTCTATGACTATCAGAGGAGGATCAAATCCTGAAAAAGAGAAACAAAACTTATTTAATACCAAGCTGGTTTGGATAGAACTCATCCCAAAAAACTAAATCAAAGGAAGAGAAAACTCAACCACATATATATACCACAGAGCAGGATCCAAACCCAACAAGGACCCACCATCGGCCCCCAGGCAAGACCGCTCTAATATCATAAAATATTTTTCTTGGGTAGAACTCACTTTCAAAAGTTAGTTCAAGTACAGTATAATCTTGACTTAGTTTTGATTTCTCTATTTTCTTAAGAATACCATTCTTTCTATTTGTATTGGTTGTTTGGATTTACATTCGCTACATAGAAGAGAGAAAACTTTCTCTTCTGTGTTGTCAGGTTATGAAAAAACAGAGAAAATTGTTTGAAATCTATACTGTTATCTATGAAACATCTTGAAGCCATCCAGTTCTGGGCAAGGATTATGAGATTAATTAATGAATTCCAGTAATTGTTATATAAATTAATTTGATTTTTGGTTTGGTTTAGTCATGAACGAAGTAGAAACAGTAGCGAGAACAAAACAACAATAAAGCAAATCACAGATAATAAACACCGAGAAAATAACGTGCGCGAGTTACCATGGTTCACCCAATATGAGCTATGTCCAGCCGAGTCAATATTATTACAATATTTCCTCACCTCTCTCTCGTTTACAATGAATAAATTACCCTATGATTTACTATCACATTCATAATAAAAGAAAAATATGTTTATATACTAATTTTAAGTGACAATACCTAATTTTACAATTATTCATATTCCTTAGCCCAACCCAACGAAGAATTAATAACTTAAAGAAATTCTATAACGGTTATACATGGAAGAGGTTCAAACTGTCTACAGGCCTGAGAGTGTTGCGTAACTCATTAATGCTGAAATAATCGGCAACTCCAACGAGTTAAAGTACTTAAAAGTAGATTTATCATGAGTAGTCTTGTCAATTGGAAAACAGAGGCAAAAACAAAAGAGTACTATTGACCAGTGCCCATTGGAAATTTATGAACTGTGAGGACCACCATGTTTGCTCATCAAAAAAGCTGAAACTTTTTATTTTTTACTTCTAGGATGCTCATGCATCTCTCTTCAATAAGAGAGCATGTAAATGCCATACATCATGTTACTACAAATATACAAAGACTGTTACCAATATACAAACATAAAGCATGTAAAAAAAACTGATAATTTTAATTATATGTGCTTTTGACACTGATAATAAAATATTAGAAGAAAAGATTTTACAGTTTTCAATACAAAAAGTTTTTGTTGTTTAGTGTTAGTCGGTTAATGAAATCCGTATTTTAAAAAATACGTGGATCCTTTTTTCAAATGAAACTGAAGAATTTAATACTAAACTATTTCGCACAAAAAAATAAAATTAAATAAATCTTTTTTTTTTTTATATCAAATGGACATATATCTCACCAATAAAAAAATATTTATACATAGTATATATAAGAGAAAAGTGATAAAATGGGAATTGCAAAATCACACCGATGTATATATTGAATTACATAAGCTCTATTTTAGAAACCAGAATGGATCAGCTTGTCCAGCTTCTCCAGTCCGATTCAGGTTTTATATTTGTAATATTTTAAAATTATAAGGGTTAATTTGTAATTTCATAAGGGTGTTTTGAAGATATGTCAAAAGTTTAAGGATTAATTGGTAATTTTTTGAGATATTTTTAAATAAAAAAAATTTAGGGACTAATTTAAACTTTTTAGGGGAATTTTTTAATATATTAGAATTTAAGGGATTAATAGTAATATTTTAAAAATAAAATTATCGTTCATGTTATGGATTCAACCGATTGACCTGTGACCCGAGCAACAAAACGGGTTGCCTTTTGATCCAGGTTTTAAAACAATGAACATAAGTGACATATAAATAATAAGTTTCTACAAGTTGAAACCATAATGAGAAGTGCTTCCATTTGGTGTATGTGTTTTGGAGGAATGCTTCCAAAAAAAGCATTTTCAAACCCCAAGTTTATTTCTTTTTTTGACTTTTTAAGTTTAAATTTTGAGTTATTTAAACTTATAAGATGTTTAATAGACTTTATAAATAAATTAAAATATCCGTGTAAACTGATATAAATGTCTTGATTAATTAAAAAATAGTAATAATATAAGTTGATGGCTGTTTGTACTCCAAAACTAAAGTCACAAACAAGATGGGGTTCGTGTTTAGTAGTAATGATTGTGAAAGAGACACAACTAGAAATTGTTTGTGAGTTTAATGATTAGATTGGAATCTCATTCTTCTATTAAGGGGGCCTAATCAGGCGTCTCTTCTTGTCCTCTAACCAACACACCATTTCCCACTTGAATTTACTCCCTACCACTCATTTTCATTATAAATATCACTTTTTTTTTTATTTTTTTAAATTAATTTAAAAATTAAATTCATTAAATGCCCATGTTTCCATGCGTTTTGCTCGAGGTTTAGCTTACTTTAACTACTGACAGAGCAATAAAACATTAACAGAGGCAAAAAAAAAAAAAAAAAATTGAGGGGGGTCACCAGCCCCCACTCATGACCATGAAAAGAAAACATGGTAATTTATATGAGAGAGTTTGTATAAAAATTTTGTATATAATGTATTATCCATTTAAATTAATTATTGCACTAAAATCATTTACCAAAATTAAATTGATGAAATGTCCGTGTTTAAAGTGGTCTTAATATAAATAATTTCAACATACTTTCCTCGAAGTTTAGTTATATACATGGATTAGCTTAAGTACATACAAACCCAAAAATTAATTTTGAAGAAAGTAAATTAAAAAAATTATTTAATATAAAATAAGAGAAAAGTAAATATTTATATGAAGAGAAAATTTTGAGTGGGGTCACCAGCCCCCACTCACGACTATGAAAGGAATACCCATGTTTTTTGAAAAAAAAAAAAAAAAACTATAATAATCATAAACTTTATTTATAGCTAGATATACTGGTATACAGAGTATTTTGTACTAAACATCATGGTTAAAAAGAAAAATATTTATAGTAAAAGTTATGTAATGTTATATATGGTCGGTTTTAGATAGTGGTGGTAGTTTTTGACATGATCCACTAATATTTGAGGAATATGATGTCATTTGAGTGGGTTAGGATTGATTTTAATTGTATTCGTGCCGACAAACTTAACTCATTTGTTAACCATGTGTTTGAGTAAATAATTCGTAACCTGTGAACCGGTTTAATGACTTTATTGATTGTGTATGACATAATTGTATGTTTATGGCACGGTGAATATTAGCTAATTCTCATGTCAAAAATATTTACTAATGACACGATTAATAATTAGGTTGAACAAATTAAACGTATCATAAACGAGTTAAAAGAATCACATATGCATAACCGTATTAAATAATTGAGTGATACTGCAACACGGTCATGTCTCAATTATCAAACAAGTTATGCTCATCACATTTGTGTTGCCTATTTAATAATCGTGTCATATCATATTACGATCTCTAACATAAATAATTAAATGATTGTATTTGATTTAGCTAAAATTTAATTATTTCTTTGTTCATTACAACACAAGTTCAACTCGTTAACTCTTGTATCAATCAATTATAAGACGAGTATATATCACAATTGATCTCGAAAATGGTTGATTATTTTTACACAATTTTTTTCTTAAATAGAAATATGAAGATAACAAATATATATAATTTAATTTTAAAATTTTTGGGAAAAGAAAAAAGAAACTTTTAATGACTCCGTCCGTTGAAGGTATCTTTTTCTCTCACTTCCCATAGTGAAGGAGGTAAAAGAGGGTAAACGGCCCATCATTGTTCATTGATCTTTTGAGTCCCACCGACACATCACATCACCACCGTCCAATCCAATCAAACCTCCAACCCATCAATTCTCCTTATTAATTTACCCACCAGAGCTACTGCACGGTGAAATTCCTTCCACACTTTATGAAAATTAACTATGACCCCTCTTATTTTAGAAAATTACTATATGAGACACTTAAGAGCACAATAATAATCACAAATATCATCACTTTGTGGGAATGTTTTAATTATTATAGATGAATAATAGTGAATTATTGAAGCATGAATAAGTTTAATAATTCGGTAATTTAAAAATAAATAAATAAATAAATTATATACACAAAATCCATTTTTTTTTTAAATTAGATTAAAATATTATGAATTTAAATTTAAGAGATCGATGATCATTAAACGTTTTACCAATTTTGTAACATTATTAAATTCCTTTGATTATCATAAACCATTAAATGCATCAGAATCTCCTAATTAAACCCCATAATAAGTATATATTTTTATAGTATCTAAAAATTGTTAGATAACTAACTACTAAACATAATCGGATTGTTTTAATCTATCCTAAAATATAATTTTCTATATAACAAAAAATTATCTGACACCATCCCGCAAAAAAAGGTCAAACTTTGTACTCTTGATGTAATTTATATCCCTAAATTTCAAAAATCGATCATTTTTTTTCTTAAAGATGAAAATAATTAATTTTTAAACATTATTAAATTCTATTGAGAGTATCAAAAACCTTTAAAAGTATCAGAATCTCATAATTAAACCTTGATAAAGAATATTTAATAGTTACTAAAAATCATTAAACCATTCACTACGAAACATAATTTTGATCATTTTAATCCGTCATAAAGTATATTTTTCTATATAATAAAAAAATTATCGAAAAATACCAAACTTTATACTCAAATTTAATTTATGCCCCTAAATTTCATAAATGGATAAGTCTTTTTCCTAACGATGAAAATGATTAATTTTTATACATTATTAAATTCTCTTGAGAGTATGAAAAACCGTTAAAAGCTTTAGAATTTCATAATTAAACCTTGATAAAGAATATTTTATAGTTTCCAAAAATCATTAAATCAGTAACTACGAAACATAATTTTCTATATAATAAAAAATTATTTAAGACCACCTTTAAAAAAATGCCAAACTTTGTACTCTTAATTTAATTTATGACCCTGAATTTCATAAATGGATTATTCTTCTTTCTAAGGATGAAAATGGAAAATTTTTAAACTTTTTGTATCATATAAAAATTTTGTATGCATACATAAAAAATGGAAAATATTAAAATAAAAAAATAATTATAAAAAAAGTACAACTCCTCTCCTTAACCGACACGTCGCATTCATTTTTTACTGCTCTGCGAGCTTTCGTCTTTTAGCTTGGCTTGTGTTGCGTTGTCTCTTCTTCTCTTCTTCATTTTGCTTCTTATACTCTTCAAACTCAGCTCTCAATTCACCACTCTTTCAAGATCCAACCACCATTGCCCACTTCCTTTCAGCTTTTATCTCGATCAAATTTGGTTCCTTTTTTGTAATTTCATTTTCTGTCGATTTAGGGCTCATTGTTTGACCCCTTCATTTTTTTTTTCCCGAAATTAGTACGAAACCCACTGCATTTATTCCGTTTTTAGGTCTTTGATATTAGATTCAGTTTTTAACTTTTGTAAATTTCTATTTTGGAGGCCAGATCAGAGGACGGGTTTTATTTGATTTTAATCTTTTTTTTTTAGATGTTTTAGGGGTTTTTTGTGGGCAGGCTGGTTCGTTGACTTTTGATCGAATTTTTGACCGGGATTAGCTGGGATTGACTGATTTGAATTGAATTGAGGTTGCATGTAGAAGATTGTGTAGGTTTGTGATAAAAGTTTAGTGCTTTAGCGCCGAAATCAGTTTGCTATTAGAAATTTAGGGTTTTGATTTTTGAATTTTATTTTGGTAATTCAAGGGTTTTTGTAGTTTAGGGATTTTTTTCTTTTTTTTGGGTGACTTTGCATGTGTAAACATTAAGGGGTCCTCTGCTCACTTGTAGAGGATCCCTACTTGTATAGCAAAAAGTAATCGACAAACAATTGGGATCTTAAGTCATTCTGCTTTGAAGATGAGTTGGACAAATGCAATAGTTCGTTGATTTTGAATTTTAGTGGAGAAAAATTCAAGTGGGGTTGTGTTGAAATTGGCATTTGGTGGATTGGCATTTGTATTTGTGTGGATAAGTATTCATACAAAATTTAGAACGAAATGTTTAGTTCTGGTCGAGGCACTGGACATAACAATAGTGGGGTGACGGGTTCGCCTTTGATTCCGGTTCGGTTTGTGTGGCCGCATGGAGGGAGAAGGGTGTTTCTCAGTGGCTCTTTTACTGGGTAAGTGAATGAAACAAAATTATCTTGATTGTGTATGATTACCTGGATTTGGATTCTATTTTTTTTTTTTAATTACTATTATTAGCTGCTTAGTTATTGGCTTATTGATATTATGATTTATGGTGTTTTTTGTTTAGGTTTTCTGATTGTTTTTTAGTATTCAAAGTGGGTATCTGATATGTTTCCGGCTGAAATTTTAAAACAGGTGGTCAGAGCATATGCCTATGTCACCGTTGGAAGGATGTCCTAATGTGTTTCAGATTATTTGCAGGTTGCCGCCAGGATACCACCAGGTTAATTAACTAAATATTATTAGATCCTAAACTGAAGTATTAAGCTTATTTATTATTAATATTTTCTGCATTGGTTTTATTGTTAATAAAGAGTGCTAGGATACATCAGATGGATGTTTATTTATAGTTTAGATTGTTTTATGAACTCAAGCTTTCAATTAGGGTGATAAAATTATGTTTTAAACTTGGATACTGATTTTTATGTACATTTCTATGCAGTATAAATTCTTTGTTGATGACGAATGGCATCATGTTGAGGAGCAGCACTATGTAAGTGGGACTTATGGGGTAGTGAATACCGTCCTCGTACCTGTGGAACCAAATGTAGTGGTTTCTACTGCCTCACTCCCTGAGATACCTGGTAACATGGAGGTAGACGATGTTATTATGCGTCCGGTAAGGGACTCTTTCATGCTTGGTCGATAAGTTGATTTCTTGCCGGTTCATCAGACCAGTAAATCTTGCCCTTCTATTTCTTTAGTCACTAGTTACTTCTATAAGTGCAGCTATGTTTCCGTTTTGGTTAAGGGGGTTACTGAGTTGCCATATTTTTAGGATTTGTGAACCTCTGATAGACTATGTTGGAGGAATTAGGCCCTAATTTGTCATAACATCTTAATGTTAGATGTGCATGCTATATGTCCCTAAGGGAGCCAATTTCCTATTGCAGTGATAAGTTATTTTGTTGCCAAGTGTGTGTACTCATATTGGAGACTTAAGAGAAACTAGTTGGTTAAAAGTAATAAATGTTAGTTAAGACGGCATTAACAGAACCCCACCAGTGTTTGGCTCTGGGACCATAGTTGATGGTAACTTTTTTGTGAAGATACTTATGTAAAAATATTCACTTTATTATGTCTTGTTCACTTTCTAGGTATATGTGGTCCAGTTATGTGCTTACTATATGGTAGTTTGTGATGATTTGGAACATTTCTTACTGATATTTAATTTCATTTGTAAGGAAAGAATCCATTTTCAGAAAGGGAAAACAAAAGGGAAATGAAGCTTTCTCCCATGTCCAATGGTTAGATGATTTGTCCTCCAGAAAAATGATGGCACTTGTAGCCTGATATGTAATCCTTCACTTTACCACAACAACCCCATTGGCCATCACAAAGGCCTTGAAGAGTTCTTAGCCTTCACTGTGTGGGAACATTAGATCCAAGTTCTGATATTTGATTAGGCTGTCTAAATCTATTTGCTTGTCTATGAAAATTTTGAAAAAATGTGAAGTAATTGGTTGCTGTGAATACAACAGCAAACAGTACCTTAACATTGCCTTTGATGACAAGTTGAGCTTTGGTGAGTAAAAAGAAAAGCATTTAGAAAATTATTTTCAATGATTCACAAAAAAGTCTCTAATATTCTTATCAGTCAACTTTAAAAGCTCACAGGCAATGTTTGAATGTTTGTATACTTTGCTATTTATCCTAATATGACTTAGATTACTTCAAGAATCAGGATCTTTACATAATGAAATTAATCTACATTACTCAAGAATAGTCATAACACCTGATATAAACCTGAGTGACACTGATAAGAACTAAAATAAAAATGACCAAAACACCATTGCTCTTGCATATATAAAAGGAGGTCAGAAGCACTTGAAGATTACAATAACTAATAGGATATTTTCCTTTTACTAAAGAGGATTTTTTGTTTATTGTGAGATCCATGGCTTTGGCTTTAAGTTTTTTAGGAAAATGTTTCTTCTCCAACCATGCTATAGCGTCAGAAAGTTTTTAATAAATTAAAATGATGGCAAAGAGCTTGGAGAAATGGTGGCATAAAGGTGGCATGAGGTTTGACAGTTTAGGATGAGACTTAAAAGTTTACTTATTTAGTTCACCTGAGCTCTGACTTGAGAAAACTCCAAGTTGGTGAAAAATTAAGAGTTGTGAAGATGATATTACTAGTCTCTGTGGTTTCTGTTTTAAATTTGTAGTGGACTAATATAATGCATTAATTCAAAAAGGCTGATAAAAATAGATGGAGTCGACTTCTGTTACAATTGGTATTAGTTTATTTCACCTTTGTTATCTTGCTATATACAATAGGTCACATTTTCGTATGTTCTTATGTAGGAAGCTGTTACACAAATCTCAGAGGCTGATTTAAGGGTCTCTCGTCAGCGTATATCTGTATTTTTGTCTACACATACCGCATATGAGTTGCTTCCCGAGTCAGGCAAGGTTTGAAAACTTTACCCTCTTTATGAGCTGTTTCTATAGTAAGTTGTTGGATATGATTTATTTATTTATTTTTTTTTTTTTTTTTTTTGGTATGTGAGGTTCATAAAGGTTCTAATGTTGCAGGTTATTGCCTTGGATGTTAATCTACCTGTGAAACAAGCATTTCATATTCTCTATGAACAGGTGAATCTTTTTTACCCATTGACACGCCTGTGCACATCCTCACGATTATCACAGTTGTGAATAGAGAATAAAGTAATATGTAGACTGCTTCATCTCCTTTCTCTTGCTGGAACTGTTTTTTTATAGTAGCCTATTGTGCTATTTATTTGGTAATTTGTGTTAATTGTTTTCCTAGAGTTCTGATGTTTATATTTGTTGCAGGGAGTCCCTGTGGCTCCTCTCTGGGATTTCTGCAGGGGCCAATTTGTTGGAGTTCTTACTGCATTGGACTTCATCCTGATTTTAAGAGAGGTGAGTACAGAATAAAATATTTGGCATTGCTTTCAAATGATATCTATGCTGCAATAACATTTAAGACAGTTATAGATGTTTGCATCAGTTGAATTTTGCTATGATCTTCGACGTAGGTAGAAATGCTGTCTTTATATAATACACTAGCTAAACACTTGTATATTAGGATGGACATTACCCATGATAGACAGTGAAACTAAGATTGCAGTTTTACTTTTGCCAAACTTGTGGGCATGGGCAATCAGGGAGTCTGTCTCCAGTTTAAATATTGGAATTGGTTATGAAAACTACATTTAGAATCAATCGTTTCTGCAAAACTTCTATAGTTTTATTGGATTGCCCCTTTCTCACCAACTTGTGGTTAGCATTTAAACAATTATTGGTATCTGTAATCTTAAAAGATTTTTTGGAACTATTATAACTGTTTTTCATAGGTCAAATGTTCGTTGCCTGTTTGTGTGGAATGTAGAATGCTTGATCAGTAAAGTTTCTTGTCTTCACATTTTTCTACCCAAATGAGGATAAACTCTGTACACACAAAGACACCAAAACAATGCCACAACATATATTCACAAATAACACCCACAATCTGAATGTTCACTATGTTTGTGAGTCTAAAATACATGGAGATGATTTCTTTATTGTATATGTTACATTTTCATGTTCCCAGAGTTTGCATAACATGTACCTTGTAAAAAATTCAGTTGGGGACTCATGGATCTAATTTAACGGAGGAAGAATTAGAGACACATACCATAGCAGCTTGGAAAGAAGTGAAAGCTCATCTTAATCGACAAATTGAAGGCAATGGTTTTACACATCCTAAACCTTTTGTCCATGTGAGTGCTTCCTCTGATGCCTCTCCAAAATTCTTTAGCTCTGCATATGAATCTCCAGTCCTCCTTTTTTATTTTTTATTTTTTTTTTATTTTTTTTCCTCCTTTTGCTTATCTTTGTTCGGATAATTTGTGAAGGTAGTTAATAGCCTCATATTAACTAGATGGTGTCCTGATTTGTGAACACCTATGACAGATGCTTATGAGAATTTCATATGCAAAAGTTTCAATACCTATTCATTAAACATAAACTGCACATTTATGTCTCTGGAAAATCTTGCAACTCAAAAGGTACTGGGCAGTTCACTTGCTATGCATGTTGTTTGCAGGGAGAGAAATGGTTTTGACCCTTTACAGAAAACCCTCAGGATGAACTCCTATTTCAGTGGTCTGATTTTTGTTTTTGTTGTTAGGTGGTTGACTGTTTCTGGAATAGCCACTTAATACTTTAGTGCTAATTATCTAGAAAAAGTTGCCTATTTGGAGATTGTTGGCATTTGCTTTTTGCATTGCTTGCTTCTCTAATAACCTGTTGTCCTTTGATTTGGTTTCATTTTTTACTTTATGGACGTGCTGGTGTCTTCATTTGAACTCTAGATATCATATTAAAACCTATTATCATGTCAATCGTGAAATACCTTGTGTTTGTAATGTAGCTAATCTATTTATTCTTTAAGATCATCCATCCCTCTGTCTCTTGTAAGTTTTTTTGTATGAAATGCATAAGCTTCATTTCATATTCTTGATTGATTAATCATTCAAGCTCCTATACTGAAGATAATCGTTCATGATATATGAAGTTCATCATGAAATATTCTGCTAGTGATTTGTGATAGAGCTGTTTTTTCTGAAGTGAAAGTGTTTGGCATAATTGAATCACCACTGTAATATTTATGATCTAAATGAGCAGGCTGGTCCATATGATTCTATGAAAGATGTTGCTTTGAAAATTTTGCAAAACAAGGTGGCTACAGTTCCCATTATTAATTCAACATCACCGGATGGTTCATTTCCACAGCTACTACATATTGCCTCCCTGTCTGGAATACTAAAATGTAAGCTTTTTTCTGAATTTGTTGGTTAAGGAATGTGATTCATTACTGATCTTAATCTGATCTTCTGGTGGTTAAGGAATGTGATTCATTTACTGATCTTAATCTGATCTTCAGGTATATGTCGGCATTTTAAACATTCTTCTAGCTCATTGCCCATTCTTCAACAACCGATATCTTCAATTCGTTTGGGTACATGGGTCCCACAAATTGGGCAAGCAAATGGTCGGCCATTTGCAATGTTGAGACCAAATGCTTCACTCGGTGCTGCCCTATCTTTGTTAGTTCAAGGTATTGTTCTCTTCTTCTGAACTATATGCTTAGTTTTTTTTTTTTTTTTTTTTTTAAATATAAATAGGCTTTATTAAGTAGATTTAAGCATGCACGTCAGCTTTAATCCTGTAGCCGTTTTCTTCTCATTATTCAATTCCTCATAGTACTTTATCTTCACTAACACGCCATGACATCGCTTGCACTCAGTCTTTTAATTGCTGTGAGGGAAGTCAATAAACAGTGAATCTTCTTAATGAAGTCTGTTNAATAATTCTCATTGATTGATAGCTCGATATAATAGCTTTGCATAAATTCAGACCCATGTCTATAGTACCAGTTCTTTCAATCACAGGGAACTTTCTTCTTCTTTATTATAATTATTATCATTTTCATAAGCAATACCAGAGGAAGAATCAATGTTTATTTCTTTTGGATGAACTGAGAATGTTGTTTGTTAAGATTACAACCAGAGTATCATCTTTCTTATGTTATAAACCCTGAGGTCAATGAGGAGACACCTTCTCTTCTGGCTTGTGACTGAAGTGTATTATGCAGTAAGAATTTTTTCAGTTACTTGTATATTCTTAAGTCAAAACTGATGGAAGCTTTATATGTGCTTATTGTCATGTCCACCCTTTACAAGGGTACAGACAGGCTTTATAAGCCTTATTGCTGTTACTAATTATTATTCTGGCCTCAAACAATTGTTCCTTGCAAAATAGGAGATGACTCTTGAGGAGTATGAGAAGGTCCGGGAAGAGAAGAGGAAAGCCCTGCTGGCCCTTAAGACCGAAGAAAGAAAGGTCGATGCTAAGGAGTTTGAGTCAATGCAACCACTCTTCAATAAGAAGGGCAATGATGATGTCTTTATTAAATTGGTAAGACTTTTTGCAACGATAGAAAATTTTCTTTTGTTATTTATCTTATGAAGCTAATGGAAATATGTTAAGTTAATCATCTCTGCTGATTTATTGTGAAGGGTTCTGAAAAGGATAAGCGGAAGGAGGCTGCTGAGAAGGAAGAGAAGGCCAAAAAGGTAAATTACTTTCCTATTACAGTTAACTTTTTCCACTTCCTCTTTCAGCTTTTCCATAGTAATCATCATGTAATGGAATAATATTTCTGTATACTTGCAATATGATTCTGAAACTATGCAAGAAGAGCTTTGAGAGGCATAAAATTATTATATTAATTTTCAGGACCAAGATCTTTCCTAATTTATTATGGTTTCTTGACATGTTCTGACATTTTGATTATGTTTGGAGTAAATAAGTAGTATAAAATATGACATGGAATTATAAATTATGAAGTTCATTGCCATGAATTTTATCTACTGTTATTATTATAATTGCTCAGAAGTGCTTGATTTTTGCCTGAATTTCCCCATCTTTTTTAGCTGGAACTTGTACTTGCCCTTGAAGCTAAGTATACATTGCCTTCTTGTACGCTTATCCTCAATTCTATCTGGCATTGTTTGAATTTGGGGTATTAGCCCATTTATGTTGTACATCAATGGTGCAACTTTATTGAACCTGGAATTTGGTCGCCATAGCATCTGTATTGACTCTTATGTAATGATGCTTCATCTGATCTGTACTTCACTTCTTTTTCAATCGATTTTGCATAGTTCTAAGGGCTTGTGCTCTGGAGTAGGAGATCAAATTAAGTATTTTTTGTCTCAAGTTAATTGTAATTGAGTCTTTCACATGATTGGACGATTCTCTTTGTAATTTGGTGTCACCTGAAGCTGTTTTTGATGCCAACTGATGCATTTTGAGAATGATCATTTGGTTGACTTCTCAATCTGTCTATAAATATGTTTTTTTATTTTTGTTTTGTTTTGTTGAACTACTACTAACTTGATGCTTTGGTTATAGTCTGTCAGCATCAATATGTTTTTGAAGCCCGCTGAAGGGGAGAGGTATTACAACCCAGGTGGTCGTGGTCGCGGACGTGGCCGTAGTTCAAGAGGAGGGTATGGAGGGGGCAGTGCAATGAGTAGTGTGTCAGCCCCTTCCATTGAGGACCCTGGTCAGTTCCCAACCTTGGGGGCTAAGTGAGATTGTCTAGAACCCCATTTAAATCTCTGTTGGTTTGTCAAATTTTGGGTTCTTTCCTTATGATCATGGTCAGGAAATTGACTTGAATAATGTGGTTTCCTGTATCAGAAGAGATATTTTCAATTTTATGCTTTAAAATGTATATTTTAGGCGTTTCTTCATGTGTGCCCATGTAGCCTTGTTATGATTTAACAGTTAAGATGGGGCATATGAAAACTATTTATTTACGACTAAAAATTATCTTGGCAGTTTTGAGGATTTATTAATAGTTTAATATGCCTGTTTCTGTTATGATACAATATAGATTGTCTTGTGGCTGGTAATTATTATATCTTCAAATGAAAGACTTGCTCTTGTCGCTGAAATTGGGCTTAATATCCATTAACGCCATGTTCAATATCGAACAATTTCTAAAATCAAACTCGACTTGTCATCTAGCGTGTTAATACTTAATAGTTATATCTGAGACTCGCGAATTTCTAATATGGTAACAGGATTTCTATGTATGTATAACAAGGTAAACAACGCGAGGAATAAAACGTCACTTTATATACCAAACCCGAGTAGAAGTCGACACAATGGGTTTTAAAAGGTCTTAATCGCTGTTTGGAGAAACAAAAATAGATTTAATTGTTTATGAAAATCATTTTATTGATTAATTTGTAATATCCAGTACTGTTGAGCACCGTTTTGATACCCAGCCTGGGACTGGGCCTTTGTCGGAGTCGGACGAGTTATCACTATTAACTATTTACTTTAAACTCTAAAATTATGGATGGTGATTGGCAAGCATATGATAGCAGTTATGTTGAGGCTTTTGTAAAGGGAGTGTTGATGAGTCCAAAGGTGGTGGAGTGATTTCCGGTGAGTGAATCAATCAAAAAAGGCAAAAATCAATCTATTGTTGATGATTGGCAAAATGAAGAGGGGAGGGGTGAGATGAGTTTGGTCAGAAGGCTGAGGGGAATGTTTTCGGAGTGATAGAGAGTATTGTCGTTACTGGAAACAGGCCCTATTTGACTTCGGTTGTCGATGCCAACAATAGTGTTTAGGGTGTGTTTGTAATATTTCAAATTTGTAAAGATTTGTAGTAATTTTTAGGGGTTTTTTTGTTAAATTTCAAACCTTTAAACACTGGTTTGACTCGCCAATCAAACCGGTTCAACCTAGGATCCGACCATTTTGCCAGGTTTCACCCCAGATTAGTTATTAAAACATTGCTGTTGAGTACAATAAAAAGTCCCCATATTGAATAATTTATAAAATCTTTCATCTCAATTCGAAGTATACCAGGCCAAACAAAGATTTAACCTTATAAAACTTGAACAATGTTAAATCCCTATGGCTAAAACACAAGATTCATTTTGTTGAATCTTAAACAGATGAAATGGAGCATATAAATGAACCGTATACAAAGATGACCCATGACCCTTCTTGTTCCGAGCATAATGCTCCATTTGAGTAACAACTCGTTGAGAGGGTAGTTGAACCTTTGTTTTAAAAGTCGGACCGGACCGGCCGGTCTAACCGGTTTGACCAGGACCTAGTTGTGTGTCTGGTCCGAACTAATATAAAATCCGCTATTACTTAAAAACCGTTTAAACCCGTTATCAAATCGAATGAACAGTGCGACCCACTCGGTCGAACCGGACCGCTTGGTAAACCGGATCAATGTTTAAAATGAAAAAACCCTAAATCTGATTTATTTTTCACGCAACTCCACTTCTCCACTCTCTTCAATCTCTCCACTCTCCAAAATCGCAACTCTCTTCTTAGATAACTGAACTCAGTCTCAATTCAATCTCTCAACTCCATCTCAACTCCACTCTCCCTTGGACCCTTGCTCGACGACGGCAGCACCTCCCTCGCTGGATTTCGACGATAATGCACTTCCTTTCTCCCTTGCTCGACGACGGCAACACCTCCCTCGTTGGATTTCAGTGACGACGCACCTCCCCTCTCGCAATGACGGCAGCACCTCCCTCGCCGGATTTCGGCAGCGATGCACCTCCCTTCTCCCTTTACTCGACGAAGGCAGCATCTCACTCGCTGGATTTCAGCGACGACGCATCTCCCTTCCCCTTGCACGACGACGCCTCCCTCCTTCGTTGGAATCGAAAATGACAACACTTCTCCTGCTCAAAATCGACAAAGACGACGCCTTTCTCTTTTGTAAAGATATTTCTACTCTCTTTTTTTTAGGAATCTATTGCTTTGATAAATAATTTGTTCACTGAATTTGTATGTAAAATACACTTACGGTTTTGTTATTAATTATTATGTATTTTATCATTTAATTTGTAATAGACAATGTTTGGAGACTTAATTTGTAATAGATGATGTTTGGGGACTTTGGATTGTAGTTAAATCGAGATTGTTATTGAGTTTGAATAATTGGATAGTAATTAAGTTGGTATTCTGAAATTTTCAAAAAAAAAAAAAAAAAAAGATATTTTGTTTTAGCTATACTAACATCACTGGTCCAACCAGCCAGTCTAACCGGTTGGACCAGTTGACCTGTGACCCAAGCAATGAAATGGGTTGCCCTCCAGTTCGGGTTTTAAAACATTGAGTTGAATAGCAGGAAAACGAAAAGATTTAATAAATCTTGAGCATTGACAAGATATACTTGTGGAAATCACAATAAAAGAATGTGACAGAACGAAGAA